GGTCATTGCAGCAATTACCCAGAATCACCACTCTTGGCCAGTGACCGCAGCAACAGGCCACCTCCTCCACTTCTCTTCTTCTTCTTCTTCTTCTTTTGCTTCTTCACGCAGTTACCGCAGCAGTTTTGCCGGATTGAGTGCTGTGGCCAGTTATGAAACGGTATTCACCAGTTCACAGTGGCAGATGCAGATCCCAGGGCTCGATCCCTAGTTCCCATCTTACCTGTGTATAGTATCTGTGTCGACCCCTAAAGTTGAACCCGTTGTCGGCGCGAATATCCTTACAAGGGTATCCGCCCTGGTTTTTGCAAGTGACAGGAAATAGTTTTGGTTTAAAGTCTAAGTATACCGCGCTAGGCGTGGCTGCGTCTGTGACTTACGTTGACTGGATGGTTGACTATAATAAAGAGTGTGTGGGCGCGCGGATTTTTTGAGGCGCGCGTGATATTTAATTATTGATGGCTGAAAAACCGGCGGGACCGTCGGCCAAAATTTTAATTATTATTATTTTTTTTTTTATTAAACTAGGATTAACAGGGCACACGCTCGTGCGGAGGACGGCCTTGACAACGGTAAGAGTTCTGCATGATGAACGGGGCGCGCGGCAACGAAGGGTCGGTGGGGCTGTCCCACTTGGTTTGTCGTCGGCGGCGTTCGATCAGTGGTGGTATTCCCCGAATAATGCGTTGCAGCGCCATAATTTTTGTTCATTTCTTCAGGGTGCCGATTGACCCGGACCAACGCCGGATTTCGTGGCCACCACGACACGGTCATGTATATGACCCGCGTTTCGGGGCCGAGGAAGTCGTCGCGGCGGTTGAAGACCTCGAGCACGCGCCTGGGCCTGCGCTTGGGCACATAGAACACCCGCGCCCCCGGCTCGACTGCTTGTTATGAGAGCCCGGAGTGGGACTTATCTGTTGCAGGGCCGAAGGGGTGGCGGGCCCAGCATGGAGGGGGAAAGAGGAGCGGGTCGGACGCCCGTCGGAGTAAAGTGCGGTGGTAGCAGGCGGAGCCACGAGGGAAGCCGACCATAGTCTGGTAAGGCGGGGCACAGTGCGTGGTGGGCGCAGAGGGAAAAACGGGTAGCAGGGGATGATAGCACAGCGGGGCTACCAAGGCCGGTAGCTGGCGAGGCGGACGGTGCCAGAGAATTGTGGAGGCGGCTACTACCGGCCAACGTAGCGTGGAGTAGCAGTGGGCTGAACCGGCTGGTGGGTGGTACCGGACAGGGGTCGACTGGTAGCATTGGGCCTGGGCTTCCTCGATGGGCCAGCCACCGTGCTTCCCCTCCGGTCTCCCCTACCTGTGGGCCCAGCGGTGGGCATGGACTTGGTCGGGCAGCACCGGGCGGCCGCGAGGAGAAACAGATAGCAGCTCAGGGTAGCGGGGCTGAACGGGTAGAGCTGCGCGGCAGCGGGCAGAGCAAAAGCGCGACGGAGAAGCGGAAAGGGCTGACCTCTGCGGGACGTTGTCGGGTTGAAAGAGGAGCGGGCAGGCGCTAAGGCAGCAAGGGGGAGAAGTGTGGAGGGTGAGTGAACATGGACGGGGTGGCGCGACAGGTGCATCTGGACCAAAGGTCGGAGATGGCAACGACGGGGAGTGGACCGGGACGGCTTAGCACGCAGGATGCATCCGGCGTAGGGAGAGGATATCGGGGGTGGAGGGACGAACGGACCGACAGGCAGTAAGCCGGCAGGGCACAAACGAGGACGAAGGAGGCAGTGGAGAAGAGGGGTGAACCTGGGCGACGAATCACGCCAGGTGCCTGCACACAGAAGAATGGGAGGAAGGTAGTGGGGAATGCATACCGGGCAGCGCAGAGTGGGAGTGGGGGAGACAAAGTTAAAGCGGCACAGTGAGGAGGCGAGCCAGCGGGCGCAGCAGAAAAGGGGGGGGGAAGCCGAAAGAACCCGGGCGACTTTCTGCGCCGGGTGCATTTCGAACGGAGGATAGTGGAAAACGGGGCAGGGCGGAGCCAAAGGCGCACAGCTCACCCGTTCCTCCATGGAATCGGGCAAGGGAAAGACTGGGTTTGGGGGTTTGAAGCGAGCCGAAGCCATCCGCGGGGTTAGTTCTGACAGAGGGTTAGTAGGATCGAAGCGGCAAGGGAACTTGGGTGCGTGGAGATGGCGGAAGTGAGGAGAGAAGGAATGAAGAGCGAGTGTATTTTGCTCGTTTGTGAGTAGAATTAGGTGAGGAAGGAGGCATTCTCAAAGGTTTGGATAGTTGCGATTTGAATGGCGGGGTTAGTTTGATCAATAGATTAGTAGATTAGCAGTTAGTAAAGGTGAATGAACCTGGACGGGATTAGCGCCAGGTGCATTCTGAAGGTGGGAGGGGAAAGAATGGTTATCTCACTCATTTCTCAACGAAATCGAGTGAGAGAAAACCGCAGGTAGGGGTTTTTTAGGCTGGCGAAGCCAATTCTTCGGTTAGCTCTTGCGATACGTTAGTAAAATAGAAGTTAGTAGGAAAACAGACTCCGCGGAGCTATGGCGGAGTGGGGAGTAGAAAGCGAGACACCGCTCGATTCTAGACGAAATTGA